GGATTAGAAAATGGAGAAGTCATTGATGTTTACTCATTGTGCAGTATCATTGATTCTATAACAGCGTGGTGCAAGTTTAATAATGTGAAAAATGTGAAACTGCATGAATTGCCATATACACTTATACGGAAAGTAATTTTTTTTTGTTGATTAAAAAGTATAATTTTTTATTGTTCATACTCCACCTAATGTTATTCTCACATGACTTTGTAAAGTTGTGGATTCATACAATGAATCTTCATAAACATGTGTGAATATGAATTGTATTTTGCAATGTCATGGGGTATGTTACCAGCTGGTAATCCAGCAGACAATCCGAAGCACAACTGCAACATTTACTTACGAATATAACAATCAGGCTGGCGCATGACATTTTGGCACTGAATTAACTTATTTTGGATCTTTTAAGTTTTAAACATGACCACTGAACCTTAAAAAAATAATAAGCCACATATTGTCCTCATTAATATGTATGATACCACACAAGGTATGATGAATATTAATGACCATGCGACATCACTGACTCATGCTCCGCCCCTTAGGCATGGGTGTTCATGAATATTAATGAGGTCAAGGGCGGAGTTTATCCCCCGCCCCCCCAATTCCCCCTCCCTACCCCCACGTCTGTTTCTACATACAAGGGAATATGGGTGCAAGCTGAATGAGCATGCAACATTCATTCTCTACGCTACGCTCTGATTTCCCTTTTTAGCACTTCTGCACGTGAATAGGTGGGCAAAAAAAATGTACAAAAAAACTTTAAATGTTGTACACGAAAAAAAAATCACAGCTCTGGGACGTGCCCACTTTTTTTTGTCAACATTAGCATGCAAGGCCTATCTCTGGTCTCTATGTCGGTGCACCTCAATAGATTCAAAGGGCTGCTGCAACAACACTTTGGAAGTTATGGGTTTCCTCTTCATTAATGTTCCCCAATGGTTATTGGTTAGATCACAGATAGAGTCCACAGAGTTTGCCCCCCCCCCCTCATGCCACCAGATAAAGGGGAGTTATACTGTGCAACAATAATATTAAATCTGGCTAACTTCTAGCTCGTGACACAGCAACGAGCTTAATTTTTGCATGCTACTGTGTTTAAACTAAACTAAAACTAAACTTTTTATTTTACAATTTAAGGCCCAGCTGAGCTATATAGCTCTTTTGCAGAAGTGACGTGGCCCCAAATGATAGCTCAACGAATTGGCTTATCGTGTGGAAATTCATAGCAGCCAAATACCCTAAACGCGTGTCGATGATGCATGTGGAGGGGAAAAGCCGGAGGACTTGGGAGAAAAATCAACACAATCACAGAGAAAACATGCAAACTCTAAATATACAGCAGGTGTCACCACACAGTTGCTGTGCCCCTACAGAGAAATATACACACGGTATACACACCTTTGATGGAATATAGTGGTTATCTTTCCGTGGGGGAAACGAAATATTTGAATGCACCAGCCAATCTTGCCATACCTTGCCCTCGAACCAGTATAAAATAAAATTAAACATATGAGCCCGAACTGGAACGGTAGGAAAAAAATCAAATGGTTGTATATATTTATATAAATGTGTTTTTATTAATACATGTGTGTATTTGTGTAAATATATATGAACAGTTCTTTTGCCATTGCAAAAAAGGCCTTGCATCAGCATTCCTCGACTTGTTTTATAGTACGGTTGTGTTTAAGAAATAAAATAATAAATGGCCTGTGAGTTTTAATGTTCATGCTGAAGGGGCTGGGTAAAGCTTTGGTTCACCTCCTGGTGCTAAGATGAAGCTCATCCTAAAGCCGCATTAAATTATTCTTATTACGGATTCACATTTTGGGGAGCCCAATCGTGGCTGTATGATATGCTGTCAATAGAACACCTGTGTTTACCTGCTGATGATATTCATGCCCGCCATCGTACGTTTCTGTTTAGTAAGACATAAAATATCATACATTGCTTTGGGAATAAGTTTATTATAAAAGCTCTAGTTACATGCTGGGGGAGTGGTAGCGTAGTACTGTATATAGTGTACTTGGCCACGCACCCAGATACCTGAGTTCGATTCTCGGTCACGGCCAACAGTGGTGCTCTGGTGTCACCGTATTGCTCTTCTCTTCATTTCTCCTCCTTATTGTGTGTGGCAATTCAAAAGCAATGCTTGATGACGTTTCTACGGTGAGGTGAGGTCGCCAGTCGATGGCTTGCTGCACGTGACCGGCATGATGAATCGTGGTAAAAACAACCTCCACAGCGGGACACGGTGTGTTGAGGCCTTCGTCCAGCAGTGTGATTGACAACAGGATTGTCACGTATTATATTATTACTGCGTCTTTTGAACTTTTTGGCACCGCATCGGTGTGTAGCTTGCTGCTGCACTTACGTTTAAATGTTCAGCAAACGACCAAAGAAACCACTGCACGGATAACCACGAACACAAATCACAAGCGCGCCACTTAAAGACCAAGATATTCACCCAGATTTCAAATATGTCACTTCAAGTGACATATTTGAAAGCCAAAGGGACTAAACAAAAACAATAACGATGTTGCTAAAGCAGTTGAATTAATACTTTAGGATGGATAGCCGCAATATCAATGTTTATTTTGTGGCGAAGGTGATTGGTGAGGTTGTGTGTTTTTGCGGGTCGCGGGGGGGGGAGTTGGTGATTACTTGGCGTCAGAAAGGCAGGTCGCACATTTTCATTGCGTACTGCTTATTGAGCAGCAGCAGCAGGTGAGGGATATCGTACCAAGCAGAGCACTCACTCGGATTAAGCTTCACATTGAGTTACAGAACTACCCCCACCAACACCTGATCAATTGATTCTGTTTACTCTGGGTCTCAAGAGTGTGCCTTCCAACCAGACCAGCTGCAATTTCCACAATTCATCTATTTCAGGCTGCTATCAGACCTGAGCGTGACTAAAGTGAGTGCAAGCAACAATTTTCTGACACTATTTTCTGCGAGGTCATGAGTGACTGCACATGATCATCACATTTTTTTTTTGCCACAAACGACATTTTTTTTTCCAGACCGACATATTAATGGTATGAATTTGGTTATGCTATAATAGTGCGAGCAAATAGTCATAAAAATACAATCAATTCTGTGCAATATGAGTAGTGTTTTGTTTCTTCCCCCACACCCCCAATTATTATTGGGACATTTTCAAAGACAATCTTAAAATGGCAGCATTTTTGTCTTGTCAAATTTCAGTGGCCTACAGGTTTTTTTTCCATTTCTCTCAGCATTTGTTCTCTCTTGGATTCTCATGAAATCTCTAACCGTTCTTTGAACATTTCCCTTTATAACTCAATGTCAGTGGGAGCAACAAGAACAAAAAAGTTGGCAAATTTATAAGGACCCTACTTGATTGTGTAACGGAAATGGGATGTTAATTACCCCAAGCCCGATAATGGGGTGGGAGAATTGTGGTTTGAGGTAATGCCATAATGACTGCTTCTGCCTCCTCAGCTATGCGGCTGTCCTGCTAAACTCTCCATTGCTTTCTTTGTGTTATGCTTCCATATCCCCATGGGGAATTGAATAACTGCAAGCATTAGGCCCTGCCACCGGGGGGAATAAAAGCTAGGATCTATCTGAACAATTAAAGCCATCCCATCAAGGAATCCAGCGCTTTACGTGGACTGAAGTGGAATTAGTAATTTTCAGCTTCACCTGGGACAGATGCATTAGTGAGCCTCCCTTCCTCTCCCAAGACTCACAGGCACTTTTCATTACAGAAGGTTATATAACTCAGTGTTCCTACAACTGAGCACGAATGACAATACGAATGAAAACCCTCTAATAATGCCCTTTGATTTACATAACGTTTAGATCTAATTGTGTATACGTCATGGTAGCCCTTACACAGGTATGAAAACTTTTTATTGTCTAAGGGTTTAAAAGAAAAAGATCAATTATAGGTGTTCGCGTGGGGAGTTCGTTAATTGATTGGCCCACACTTCAAATTTGAGTTGGCAGAGGCCTACGGAAGGCTGGCAGTGAACATTATAGTTTGTTCGCAGTGTGTCATAAAAACCTTTTTAAATAATCCACAGCACATACCTCAAACTGCTCTGTAATGCAATTTGGCTGCAGCTCGCGTTATAAATTCGCGTATGTTATATTGCTCCTCCTAGGTTTCATTCTCAAAGTTTTCATTACAGTTTATTTGGCCACAAATGCAGTGGCATGCAAAAAAAACACGCTGTTGTGGATTTGCAGACACCCAGATTTTAATGAAGTAATCAGACAAAACTTATCTCAAGAGCGGCATAATTTTAGATAATTAACAGCTGGTTGTCTTGTTTAAACACAATTTTCCAAAATGTGTTAACTTTAGGGCCAGGCCCACATGTTCGGTGAATATTCATGAGAATTTGGATTATAAGCTACTCATACTTTTGATGCTAATCATCATTAGGGAAATTTTAGAGGAAGTTAATTCCACCACCTTCAACCCCTGCCCCACAAAACTTTAATCAAATCTCACGTGTCATAATATCGGTGGGATGCTGCCGTGGTACGTTAAGTGTTTCGGTTAGCGAAGTGAACAATCCAAAGCTCGCCAGTTCCATTCGATACCCCCAGCAGTCAAAACAATCGGGGCAAGCAGACATTGATACCTTTCCACTCATACTAAGAGGAGCGGTGGCGCAGTGGCTAGCGAGATTGCGATAGGAACCCAGTGACCTGAGTTTGATTCCCGACCATGCCCTTCCCCCCCCCCTACCTCTGTCCTAGCAGTATGAATGGGTTCGACCATACTTGATCTGCAAACCTCTTCCAACACGGCTGGCCAGCACGGACTATTTGGCCACTTACCCTCTAGAGGAGATGTTCTCTTTTCTCTAGAGATTCCTCTTCTGGAGGCCTTAATGCCAGCAGCGTTGTGAGATAAAATATTGCAGGGCTGCGCATTTTATTTGAATTTGTTTTTTGTTGGTAGTGCTTTGGAGTTTGTCTTCTTTTTTTTATCGTCATATTCCACATTTCGTTGCTTGCAGCAGAGGCACGGCGCCCGGCCGGAGAGGAACGCTCACGCTCACGAGGCCGCGCCGATGTGCCGTCGCGTACCCGCATGTCGCGTGACCTGGAGATGGCCCTGCTGGATGGGGACAGAAGAGCTCCCACCGCCACCGCGACCACCACCGTGAGGGAGAAGACCAAGGCCGTGGAGGGAGGAGACACCCCTCCCGATGTAGAGAAGGACTCGAAAACAACGGACGTGGAAATGGAGGAGGAGGAACTCTCAGTGACTGTAACTGAAGAGTGATGCTTTGTGGATGAGATAGATAGTTAAGCTGTGTATGCATTAAAGAAAAGCATAGGATGTTTTTAATCGTCATTTTATATTCCGATTGGCGCGACGGAGGTTGTCATTATTGTCCAACCCTGCCTTATGTATTTGTGCCCTTTGAATTAATAATGCCGACTTTATGAAATGTAAAAGAGCATAGTTTTGCAAACCTGTCACAGTCAAAAAATAAATAAGGAATCTAGCCATGTTGAAGAGACTTGTATGTTTTATCTTCAGGGATATGAGAAGCTTTGTTTATAAATAGAATGATATGTGTTGCTTGGGTGCAAAGGCTTTCACAGTTTTGTGGAAAATAATTTTTTACATTCCACACTTTTGAAACATCCTGGGTTTTTTTATTTGAATAAAAAGCATGATTTTAAACAAACTTTTGATTTTAAAGAAAAACAAAATACTATCAACTGGGTTTTTTTCCATTATTTTGCATGAATTATTAATACTCGGCGAATGTTTGGCAAGTGTTAATTTATTCCGGCTGAGCCACATGCCGTTATCTTGCATGGATGGCCATGTGCACTTTTGCTAAAGGGAATCATTTGCATATCACGCATTGTTCTTTTTTTTCAATCTTGCTGCACAAGTAATTTGGTTTTCCCTGAATTTGTTGTTGTTGTACATATGCGGTTTTTGAATGTATGCATATGGTCAAATTCACAAACGTAATTATGTTCACAAAACAAACCCATCATGATGATCTCTTTTGGAAGTTTATTGATAAGCATTTATACTGTGGCTCGATACTTTCATTGGCAATTTTGGGTTGTATATTTAAACGGAGATACAAACCACATTTTTGTTTACTTAATTGTCACAGGAAAATGCATCTATTATTAGGAATGTGGTACGACACCGCGACACTGCTGGTAGATGGGCCACCCCTTACTTGACCATACTTCACCACGCTGGTCAGTGGGTAGGTGAAAATGGGGAGCATAGATGTATAGTGCAACCTGGCATACATAGTGGTCATCCATACAAACAATATCCAGGCTCAAACTTCTGCCTAGCTTCCGAGATCCCGTGAGATTGGGGAGGTGATTTGGTCCGGAGGCACAGTTTGCTATCGTTAGGGGTTTTTTTTTAATTCCCTCTGCGCTGGGCTCTTTAACATCGAATGGCTTCAGCCGTGCCCCGCTCATTGTGATGTGGCCAGAGAGAGGGGTTTTCACCTCGTGAATGGACATGAATGGACACCAGCTTGGCTGTGGTTCAGCGTTAAGTCGTCGCAAATGCCTCACTGTGCAGCTGCTCCGTGCTGTAAAGGCGTGCAAATACGTCGGGAAGCACCGAAAGTCTGCTTGGATGCTTCGCCCCACCTTCTCACCCCCCCGTAACATGCAAGCGGTGGCAATGAATTAACGTGGGGGGTGGGGTGGGGGGCAGGGACTTGGCCCCGGCGGTAGGTCGCTCGTTGAAGAGGTTCACGGCTCGAATACAGTGGCCACCCTGATTAATACTGCTTTGCAGTAGACGTCAAATGTCCCTTGAAGTCATTCGCAAGCGTTGGGCCGTTGTGGGATGGCGTTGTGGTGCAAATTTTAAAGAAAGACAACAAAAATACCCCTTGGCAGGACCCTCCTGAGAAATGACCCTGAGACTCGGGGAGTCTTTTTTGGGTAAATAAATGTTAAAGAATTGTGCCACTGCAGTGATCTCCCTCGAGGGTATTATGGTGGTGCTCCTTATAAGATGTGTTATCACCGTATGTTCTTCCATATCTCACGAGCAAAGATACAATCGCGTGTTGAACTGCTCAAAAACGCATACACCCTTGGCAAAATTACTGTTATAACTTGCTTGGGTTACATCTTCAGCATTGCCCTTGTAGTGGTTCTTGGTTCGAGACCCGTGGCCACCCTGGTTAATAATACCGCAGGTGTTTTTAACCATGAAATACATGTCTGCTTCACAGCACACTTTACAGATCATCGTACTATATATCGAAAAAGAATAGGCCCATGTGTAGCGGTATTGTCCAAATTTGATTAAATACTCAAAGATATACGTACTTAACTGGATAATCGATGGCAGCCTTGTCCCCTACTGGTAGACTAATGGCCATGTTTAGGCTTGTGCTGCTTACACCTTGTGCTGCAGAGGGGCATCTTGCCACTGGCAGTCGTCCCCTGGGCTAGACCGCAGCAGTGCATTACAATGGTTGAGACGAAATGCGATACAAAAGTGTATTGGACATATGAACCTTATGGCGTTACCCCGGGGTACAAAGCTACCCCGGCTCTCGTATAATGTCCTTGATGCAGAAATTTTTAGTTTGTTGATGGTCGGCGATGCGGCAATCGACTCATCTCGACGAGCTGTACACGAGGCACTATGATACATACGAGCGTTCAGGGTTTCGGCGCAATCGTCCTCGCTGCGTGTTCGACATCGCGGAGTGTGGCACTGATTTCGGATTCTTTGGTATCCCAGTCGCGGAGTTAAGTACAACCCTGGAAAAAAGTGTCCCAGAAATAAAATATCACTGTAACACGATTTTTGTTCCTGGGTATTTAGTGTTATTTTCTAATTGCATTTGCCTCAAAAGTACATAAAATGGCTATTATTCCCCACAAACTTTGATTTTGTGACCAGGACTTTACGTGAAGGAATGACGCATGCACACGTTTTCTCATTGAAAATAGGTAAATTGCTAAATATCACTGTGTCCTGGTCACAAAAGCTAAGTTTGTGGGGAATAATAGCCATTTTCTATACTTCTGAGGCAAATGTAATTAGAAAATAACACTTAATACACAGGAACAAAACATAATCCCTCTGCCATGTTGTATTATTTGGGACCCTGGGGAACCGCCATAAGGATCATATAATTGAAGACTTTGGTGTAAGTGCATCAGATTCAGTGCCAAATGGAGACGTTAGAAAACAAAGCACGGCAAAATGTGGATAATTATAGACTTAGACATGGTACAATACTCTTCACAAGTTGTTTATGTATAGTACTGATGCCAGTGAATACTTGGTTGCTTTGCTTGGTTGTCAAGCTATATATTTGCAGTTTAACACGTAGGCTCTCCTGCTCTATATAAGAACGGGAGACACAGCAGAGCCTCACCATTCTGGCGAATTGCCCGATGATGCTGGATGCAATTACCAACGAAACGTCGTACAACTCAAATTGTAAATGTTGTGGTTTCACGCTTCAACACACCGGTAGGCTAAAGCAGTGAACTATTTGTCTTTTGTCTACGTGACACTTTTTTACTGATTGGCCGTGTCGGGTGGTGGAGGGTTACGACACATTTATAAATAACGCGATCTAAACCCAAAACGTTGATTATGAATATATATTTTCAGCCTTGTAAAAGTAACATGATGTATCGGGAGATAGGGTAGGTGAAAATATCGCACGTGTGTTTTGTTAGAAATACATTTGAAAACGAATTTCTTTAGAACTGTTTTTAAATCCTTTATATTAAGTTCGCTTGCTTGCTTAAGACCGTGCAAATCTTTCGGTCGTTTTTTAACCCACTTCCCGTGATCCAATCGAGCTGACATTTTGCACACAGACTCGTTGTGCGTGACAATGCATTTTCGTGAAAAAATTTTTCCAAAGTTTTACACTGTTTAGGAAAAAATATATATATTTAAATACCAATTGTTTAATGCTGCCAGACAATCATCTGACCCATAGGTGGCAGCCATCTCAAGCCAGAGGACGAGAGGACTCTAGCCGCCCCGATGCCACGCATATAAAGGATTTATAGTGAAAAACTTTGTTTTTACGGGTTTACTTGTTTGTGTTTGGTTTGTCCTTCCCCCGCACCTCCGCTTAGCACGGTTGGCAACGTACGACGCGAAAGAAGTTCAACGTACATAAAACGATCTCTTTTGTTTCCTTGATTCCTTCATACTTGATCAAGTCTTTTAAAGTAAGTCGACCTTCCTGCCATGTCTTCGTGCAGCCACCTCAAGCGACGTTACACCTTGGAGGTTACAAATTGAGAAGGACGCTGCACCAAGTAGGTCACATCACACTTAATTTTCGAAGTTTACCGTGCAGGCAAGCGGAATATTTGTTGGGTTTTAATTTTAGTTTTTTTATATATGTATGGTTCATGTTTAATGTCCCAAATGGCCCTGGGCTTGGCATATGGTGTGTTCTTCACTGCATTTGGTTAACAATCGTGCACCAAGCTGCCAGCTACCCAAGGTGAATGAGCCATTGTCTTCAGAATGTAATCCGATTGAGTGGAGGACACGCACGCCATGAACGTGATAAACATGTTTCATGCGATAATAGGAAAATTGAATTATATGAAAGTGAGCTTCGTGGACATTTGTAATACGCATTCCGTCTTTTGTGTTATTAAAATTCTGTCAATGTTTGAGCTCAATGCCAGGATAAGGCACCGTAATGATACAACATTTAACAGAAAAACAAATATTCAATACCGCATCACTTTAAAAATATAAATTGCACATTAACATGATATTGCAAGTTCAAATTGTTCAAATGTATCAATTTTTCGCCTATGGTTCGTGCACATCGCTCCCTTATAGAATTTAACTGTGTTTCAGTCCCGTTCAATCATTGCGACATTCCATAACTGCTAACAGATGCCGCGAGCAGAAATCCCTCGGGATTCGTGATTACCATCGAATGGCACCATCACCTCTGGGCAAACTACCACAACTAGTGTTTTCCCAAACTCGGCGTGCAAATAGCGAGCTTCATGGAACAGATTGTTTTATTTGAAGTGGCACTAATTTAGCTGGCGGAGCCGTTGAGGTATGAGACACTGCATGGGGCTGTTGTACGCACACTCTGTCACTTCACTCGGGCCTTCGGCCCCGCGGGCACTCATTGAATCCCGACTGTCAGCGCCTGTCTGTTACTTCCTCTGTAGAAGGCCACACGTGTCTCGCTGGCAGATGTGTACGTGTTTAGCTTGAGATGAGAAGGAGTGGTGAGAACCAGGGGGGAAAGAGTATCAACTACAGTGGCCGTGCAGCTCGCCTTTCAAAATACACTGGGACCGTGCGTGCGCAGTCTGTACAAAAAACATTTGTGTCCATTGCACACTTAATGACTCAAGGTTGCGTATAAATTATTGAAACGTGTGTAGACTCAAGGTGACTTAATTATTTGACATCAGGGATGCGCGTATTCGCACGGAGCAGTCACATTCAAGCGGACGCGTGACATGTTCCAAGAACGGACCTACAAAAGCCACCGGCATGTCATTGTCTGCCGGAGGCTTTGGGGTTCTTTTTTCCGCGAATACTTTTCTCGTTCCGAGTGTGTTTGAGCGTGCCAAGTGGTTGCCTCGTCTGAGATTGGCCAAATTAGTTTAGCACTCGGGAGTTTCGTTTAAATTAACGCAGGTGTGAATTCCCTGCTCAGTCGAAACGCTCGGCACAGCAGGAACCAGATGAATGAACTTTACTCTGTCCAAAATGTAACCGCTCATTTGCATTCGCACGCCCCCAGGCACTGTGCACTAACTCCTGAATTAACGTTCCCAGCCCGGACATTAACTTTCTTTGGAGAAAACTTTGTTCACTGTTTTGTAGTGCGGGTTATTACATTTAATTTAAGTCTTGTTTAAGGTAACCACAGAGTACCATGCGAATGCCTTCCCTTGCTCTGAGCGAGCTTTATGGAATCAAATTTGTGGGCAGATTATATAAGCAGCGCCTCATGGTGGCACAATCTCGCGTGTGGCATGACGTGGTTTTTTTTTTCAGGTCACGGCTCCCAGTAATTTTGAGATTTATTTGTGGCTACAATGTCCAAATGGCACGGTGTCCAGAACTCTCACGAAGTGCATATGCCAATATAGGAGGAGGAATATTTGTCGGTGAAGCAACGTATTTATTCTCATACACTGTCTAAATTCTGTATGGAATATGCAAGGGGCACATTTCAACCACTCGCACTCAATAAAATCCACGGCCTTACGCTGGGGGTGGGGGAGGTGGGAAACAGCAATAAATACGAGCTTAAATTAACAACATTACCTGATAAAACTGTCGTCTTGGAATCATCCCGTGAGAGTCCACGCGTCAGAGTTTTGGGTAGCATCCTGGTGAAAAACGCGCACCCGCACGGGGTGCGCATGATGCAGTGGTGCGCGAGAAAACGCGCGCACCCGTTTTTTTTTCTAGCCAACGCATGCGAAGGGAACTTCGTTTTATTTTCACGTATAATGAAGCATGCGCATCGAAAATAGATAGAGTTTATAGAGGTCGTGGGGAATTTTTAACTTGCGCACGATGGGACCCGGGCGATGAGTGATGGCGCGTCGGCTCTCTTCTACCCGGGTCGCGTTTGCCTCTCTGCTCGGCTCCGTCGCCACCAAATTATCTCGCAAGCTGCATAGTTCAGCCACGCCGGAATGACGCGCGGTGGGTCCTTGTCGAGCCGTAGCTGCTGATAATGATCGGCTATTAGCGAATCCCCGTGTTGTCCTCGGTAGAAGTTGGCCTTCGCTGTGAACGAGCGAGATGTTTTCCAAAATTAAAGGAAAAGTGGGCTGTCAGAATATTCTTGTGTTTTTTCGGTAAAGTCACGTAGGTAAAAACATAAAAAAGTAAAAAAAAATAAAAAAAAATCACGACGTTTCGGAGGCAACACAAGCTTCCGTCTTCAGGTGGTACCGTCACAGCCACTTGATACAGCTGTCGTGGCTGTGACGGTACCACCTGAAGACGGAAGCTTGTGTTGCCTCCGAAACGTCGTGATTTTTATTTTATTTTACTTTTTCATGTTTTTACCTACGTGACTTTACCGAAAAAACATAAGAATATGAATCATTGCAGTCACGAAAGCTTCAAATCTAGAATGGGCTGTCAGAAGTTGGCGTTTTTTTTCTTCTTTTCAGAGCACGGTCCCTATTCTCTCGCACACGGATTTATAGAATTTTCGGTGCCGTTGAAGATTGGTTAGGAATGCATTGGGGGCTTCGTCACAAACGAATTGCGTGAAGTCGCAGAGAAAAAAAAGCATTCTGTTCCAGCTGCATTTTCACATGAAAATGCGTCGTGACAGAGGTGGTTAATGGCCCTTTAAAGTTTCTGCACCGGCATTTAAATGTAATTGCAATCAATGAGATTTTGAAGCATTTAAACCGTGGAGATCGCTTGCCGTTTGTAGCACTCTTTTCATAGGTATCCATCCGTGATCTAACTGCCTTGAAAGGCGCTTACTGCTGACATGCTATTATTATGATGTTTCTGTTCAATTCAACAAAATAATTGTAGGGTGTATTTTAGGTGCTAATGTGGGCATTGCCTTCCATTTCGGAGCCACCCTTTGTTCCAGAATTAAGCCAACAATACAACCACTGGTGTGCGCATGGCCGTCATTAATTGTATATGTAACTTATTTTCCCAGAAGTTTCAAACTGTAAACTCTGAAGGCGATTGTGCTCAATGTTCTACAGAGTGCCCATCTGTCTGCAATAAAAAGGAATATTTGTCATTATGAACAACTGTGCTCTAGGATTGTTTAACCTCCTTCATGGCATTGGGAGGTACATCAGGGATTCACTTGGTGGGAAGAAGACCGTTTGGGAATTGCCGGAGAGCCAGGGAAATACCGTTGTAAAAGAGTTAATGTCAGCCCTGTATAGTCCCACACGCCAGGTGGGTTAATAACGGGATGGCATCGCCTTACTGTACATTATATTGTACTAAATTCCTCTGGGAATTGTGAGGTTACGAGATATGGGGGTGGGAAGAGGTGACACTTTTGCCAATGCTGTGATAAAGGTCCCGTTTCTCTTCGAGTCGCCCTCCTGCGTGATGATGTATGGCTGGGCCACGTGCGGACCCAGTTGACTGATAGGGGCTGCCGTCGACAGAGAGCAATGTGCTGCATTTGTGTGGGACACTGGAGTTTTGGGCTCTCGTGAAAAGTCGTAGCCTCCAACCACATGGCCATGCCCTATACTCAATGGTGATTGTGCCCCGATGGCACTATACGGTGAAGGATGCGCCCTATATGCTGCGTATAGTGAAAATATTGCCTGCACTACTGGCGAGCTTGCTTGCTGTTCTTGATTTGCTGTGGGGGAAGCTGTAAAAGCACTTTTTTTAATTTTGAATGCTCCATGCCGAGTAGTTTTATAAGCTACGCTGGCGAGAATGTTTCCACCCATACTCCCTCTCTTTCATTCATCGCCTCCTCCCTACCGCTCAACTCCCTAGCGACCCAGCCCATTGTCCTGCCTGCCCGGGCAAGCATCTGTCAGACGCGTCGGGGGATGTGCTCAGCGTGGAGCCTACCGCCGTTGAATAGAGTCCCTTAAAAACAAGAGTTTGATTTAGTATCCCCCCCCCCCAACCTCTCACATACACACACACACGCCAGCTCCTCGCTGCAACGATCATCTATCACAGTGCGCCCATATTCCCTCGAGCTGGCTGCCTGGTCGGCAGGCTAAAAAGCACAAACCCCAAGCTAACAACTCAACGGCAGGACCCCGGCATGGTGCATGAAAAGACTCCAATGGAGCGCATTTAAACAGCAAGCACCCACCTCCCCTCCCCTCCCTTTTACTGCAAACTTTTTATCTCCGGCCCTCCATCTAACCCCCCCCCCCCCCACACACACACCCCTAACCCTAACGAGCAGGCGACCTTCAGTTTACACTGTGTCTGGCTGCGAGACAAAATTGTGCTTGGACAAGGCCTTTGACCTGCCACAAACTCCACCACAAAGATGGCTCAGACGTTTTGTCAGGGGCACATTGTGACTTGGGCTTTGCAGGGCCGCATTATGCATTTCCTGCGATCGGCTCATTACGCATGCGGCATCGCAAGTCCCCGGGCTCTTTGTTTCGGATTCTTGGTTCGAGCACATGAAATTCCCCCCCCCCCCCCCCCCC